CACCCAACTGCTTGACTTCTTCAGGAAATCAAACACCCTCCAGAGCAAATGCGCAAACTGGCCCTTGAGACAATCAATGTCAACTAGGCTCCAAGTCTTCACTGATGGGTCATACATAGAAAACCAAGGAAACATTGGTGCAGGTGTCTATTCTGAACTCTTCTCTTTCTACGCAGCAAAGGGACACAATAGATCCGCTTTCGAAGGAGAAATAGAGGCCATTAGGATAGCACTATGCCAATTATGTTGCCTGAATACGAAATTCACCAAAGTGGTGATACTTTCGGACTCACAGTCAGCAATAAACTCAATTGGAAGCAGAAAGTCACCCAAAACAGCTGAGATAAAGGAATGTAGAAAAATCTATCAGCTGCTGAGAGAGAAGAACAAAACAGTGGTCCTACAATGGATTCCTGGTTACTGTGGCATTAAAGACAATGAGCTTGCTGACACACTTGCTTAGAAGGGGACAAGGATTTTGCAATGCATGGGCAGCCCGATATCTTTCCACATAATGAAGGCTTTAATCAGAAGAGAATTCCAGACCTCAAGGTGCAACGAACTTAAATCTCGAACAAAGGAGAAACAGTGGACAGTGGCATTCTCCGACATACCCGACAGGCCAAGAATCGAAGCCGTTGTTGAGTTTAGACTACGTACCGGACACGATTGCTTGGCAAAACACCTTCACAGATTGGGAGTATACACTCAACCCACATGCCCTCTATGTAACCTACAGGAGGAAATGGAGAAGACCCACCTGATTCGGTGTCCACCCCTAAAGGCAACGACGGAAAGCCAAAGATACAGGGAAGCAAGAAGCCAGCTAATGAACTGCTATTAATTAACTGCTATAAATGTACCCCCCCCCCCACCCTTGGGGGAAGCTGAAGTCGAAGTTTAAGGGCTAATGATAAATATCATAAAGCCTGCCATTTGAAATAAATATAATTTAATCAAAAGAAGGATTTAAATGATTAAGTCTAAGGCGGAGGGAGTACGCGATGGACTTACCTCCTCGTAGTGCACCCTGGGCAACGTATACTCATACGGCAAAAAAAGTCTAGAAACTGGCAGTTGACTTCTGAATTCAAACTAACATGACCCCACTGTATGTCACATTCGACCACTTTCACAGTACTTACCTTATCTTACCTTTATCTCTACCTTTGTGACTGTCTCTTTTACATCTGCGAATCACTCTTCTATTTCCTTTTTCAACTTTTTGTGACTTTGATGTTCCTCCCCTCTGTAAAGCCAAAGTCAACCAAAGGGCTAATGATGGCTATTATAAAGCCCGCCGTTTGACATAAATAAATTTCTAAGCGTTCTTGAGAGCGCTAATCTCAGGCCACTATTATCACTGTCATTTGATTATTTTATTCACGCGAAAGCATACATGCAGTAAGAAGAAAGTAGAGTTAAAACGGTCTTTATTCATCTGTGTTCGACGTTTGCCAGATTTCCACGTCTTAATGAGCACTGGCACAAGAAACTAATTTTGAATTTCAAAACTTTCCGAGCTTGTGTTTTGTAATATTCAGAGATTACTGATCAACTGGTTGAAATAAGTGATCGGCCTTTCCATTTCGAAATACTTATCTCTTAAAGTAGACAGGAACTGCTCCACCCTTACACATAGTTTATTTGATTTCAATCAATAGGAGTTCTAATGCAGCCTACTTCTCTTGTTTTAGTGATTTATACACTTTTATGGCTAATAGTCGCGGAATGACTAATGACAGTGCGGAAGATGCCTCTAACGACATCACTAAACCTGAGACAAAGGAGATCCACGTGAAGGATGGGGACAGATATGTAATCTCGTGCCCTATTCGAGGTACTGCTCATTCGCCAATCTCCTGGTTCCGTCTCCCGACTGAGAGTGATAATGCTACCGATTTAATTCAATCTGCACTTTCCCCTACAGCTTTTATGGCCTTCGGAACGGCCTCTGGTTGGCTGGCCTACCATGCAACTCAAGTAAGTGCAATCTAAATCAAATGACATTATGAATAATATTACGTGAATAAAGCGAATATTTTGCAAGATTCGTTAAAAAAGGAATTGGCATTTTTTATAGTCGATTTTTGAACACTCAATATGTGCATTTAGAAATGGGATATCAAACAATGAAAAATAGGTCGGAGTCTCGTCAGTAAAACTTCCCTTACTCTTAGACTATGTTGATCCTCAAGACTTTCCCTTGCAATACTAATGAAAAAGAGGAGACCAAGCGTGGAAATGACTGATGGATGAATGAAACAAGAGTAGATGAAGGGAAGAGGATGCGGTAGGTAAAGCGCAGGGGGGGGGTGTTGAAGCGTCAACGTTGAACAAGTGGAACCTAGGTTGTGACAGAGTGAAATAAAGTAAGGCAATGAACTGAATGTTTTTTTTGTGTTCTTTCTTCACCGATAGGCAGACGGTAAAAATCAATATTTGCTTTTAATAAATGTTTTCTAAAGGTCATTTATATTTAACTAACATTTTTTCGAACTCCCTTTAACCGCTAAAAGAAAATGCGTCTTTCAATCTGTTTGTTGTCTAAATTTTGCTGTGGTATCAAGATGCATTTCTGTTGTTCATTTGAAAATTTCCTACAGCCTTTTGACTAGATGACCACCTTCGACATTTCAGCGCTGTTTTAATAAATAAAGTACATAGCTTCTAAATTAGTTAAATGGATCAATAGGCTCTACTGTACCTTGCGTTTTCAAAGTTGGCAATTCTGATGAACCTTTCTTGTCTTACAATGGTTAATATTACTTTCAAAGTTGCAGTGTATATTATGCAGACATTATCTCAGTAATTTGTCTTCAGGTAAATCTCACCACTTTACTGAAGCAATCTCGGGGTCGAATATCTATTGATCCAGCCTACCATCTAATCTACGCAGAAGCTAGATCCTCCCTAGACTGTTCCTATGAAAAAGGTGATAAATTTTTCAGAAAACCTTCCTTCCGTTTGGCATGTGTACATGGCGATGCCCGTGGAAGTAATATCAAGTGGTCCGATTGGTCAGGGGTGATTATTGTCAAAGCTCTAGTCAGGTGGACGCATCTTGAAGCGCTCACAGGGTTCAGTACTGCAACGGCAATTCTTATGCCTGCATTGCTAGCTGTTCTTACCATTGCTTTATCGATCAAGTGCTTGATGGATGAGAGGAAATCAAAGCTTAAGGCCGCTGCGGTGGGAAGAACACAAAGGCCAAATATGTAATGATATAGTCCTCGGGAATTCTGTGTTTCGATGTTTAAATTTCTCTATTTAACTAAATTTTGACGAACTTGACATCTATGACACATCTTACAGATCTACTCCGTTATTAATTTTATGGGAATAAAGTAACGCAATCCCAAGTAAATTTAACTTCATACTCCGGCAACAAGCCTCCCAAATTAGAAGGGCGAGAGTCGAGAAAGGCCGGTAGTGCTTTAAGCGTCCAGACAGCGTGCGTGGAAATGTAGTCTTTTATACAGCACGTCTAGGGGCTGTCCGATTTTGAGGCCTTTGTGTGTTGACAATTAAGGTTGAGATGAGTCAGAAAGTGCGAAATCCATTGCAAGATATAGCAAAGTGCAAGGAATTAGAGGAACATAGATTTCCAGCCTTATTCATAGCAAAATCTGAATAATGTTCATTTCCATGTCAGATGACCTTACTTATTAACTTTAGTCGAGTGGTGGTCCAGTTTAATTAGCCAAAGTGGTTAGCCAACGTTTGGGTTGTTAATGATAAAACTGATATTTAGAAGTGTTTTCTAACTCTCATCTTGGGCTAGAGGGTGACAACTTATGTCACTCCGATGAGAATCTCGAATTGCGCCAAAACATTAGATGTAACAAGTGGTGGATGTGCCCGTGACCTCAGATTTTGCAGAACGTTGGACTTCTGACAAGTGTTTTGCTTGAAATTCAAGACATTGCTAATTATTGAAAGCAGTTCAAATTAGCTTTACGTAGTAGATAAAAGGGAGCTTATATATCTTAACAAACAAACAAGGTTATATGGGTTACTTGTTAGGTCTGATTGCTTGCGTTTCAATTTCATTCCCTTATAAAATAAATATGGTACTAAGTTGTCCACCCTTCATAAATAAATATATAAATGACCATCTCGCAAATGAAAGGCTTTAAGAGTTCTTTTAAGTGTTTGTTTGACTTAGAAGCAAGTTATCTGTAAATCGTTGCAACGAAATCTAACCCCTACCTCGGCGAGTTAATTTGGTCTACACCTCGCGAATTAACGAAAGCATGCGGCTACTCTTAGATCTAGGCAAAATCAGATCACACCACACTTCACCCCAGAGTGAGAAAACCAATCTTTGAATAAGTTTCAACCCAATAGCCGATAACTCAATGGACCGATAGAATTTCGGTAGTTCGAAAATACTCCATTGAATGCCAACACTGGCGATCACCAGCTATTTAAATACAGCCGCTTCGAAGGTAATCAATGCGTACCACGTCAGGTCGGTGAAACAACAGATAACCGGATGCCTCTTTCATAGCTACCCCAATTACTACCCATCCAGATTCATTAGGAAATAAATAAGATTAATGTTGCAGCTATAATGCCATCAACATGGCTCGCACAAATAAATCAACCGAAATTTTTATACCGCAAGACTTTAACTACTACTATTGAATTATCTTGCATGACCACAAGAATAGACGGATAATACAAAAGAATATAGCGGTGGTTCTTAAGGATTAAAAAATACACAAATGCAGTTAATTTACACTTTATAAAGTTAACCAACACCCACACGAACACCACGTTGTTTCTTAATCACTCATATCACTCAACGAGTCATCATTATCACTTCCACCTCCCTTCTTGTCTTTAGGTGAAGAAGACGAAGTTTCCGACTCTTCCACATATTCAGCACTCTTAAATGCGCCACTATGAGAAGAACTCGCGCCTCCAGAAGACTTCTTGGGAGTAGCAGTCTTTGACTTCTCTTTCTTTTTCCCCTTTTCTATACTTTTAGGAACGAAAATTTCCCCCGAAGCAATCTTCGCCTTGTAGACCTTCATATCCTCCTCATACTTTTCCTTCTGCTTATCCGCTTGCGCTTGGTACTTGGCCTTTAAATCTGAACTCATATTATTCCACTTCTCTCCAGCTGCTTTAGCCACGCTTGTGATGCTAGCCGAACTGCCAAGACTCTCCTTAATCCGTTGTCTATTCTCATTAAACCATATAATGTATGCAGAGGAGGGTCTGGGGGGTGCATTGGGGTCTCTTTTGGATTTCTTAGACTCTGATTTTCTTGGAGCTGTAGAGTGTTTTTTGTGATGGCTCGATCTGTGTTTATGCTCCTTTCGGTGACGACGACGTTTCGAAGATGAACCACTTTCAGATTTACCACCATCCGAAGAAGCGCTTTCAGAAGACTCAGCATTGCTGTCATATTCTTCTGCAATGTCATCTTCACTGGAATCCATCTCAGGAGGATTGAAGTCTTCATCATCGTCATCATCATCTGAAAAGTCTGCCCCCGCGAATGTTCCAGAAGACGCGTGCGCATGCTCCGCCGTGCGTTCCCGACCTTCCGCCTTGACCTGGTTCAAATATGCATCATGAGATTCATCGGAAGACGACCAAATCTCGTCCTTCTTTGCTCTATATGCAGTTTCATTATCTTCAATATTCTTGATGCTAAGTCGCTTGTCTCGAACATAGTCATACAACTTGTGGTATTCATCGCGTTCAATTGATACGAAAGTGTGTGTTACACCCACTCGTGTTTCAATCTAATGAGGTTACAAAAAATGGAGTTGACTTTAAATTCAGCTACTGAAATAAGATAAGTAGAAAAAAACACAATGACGTACGTCGAAGTCAAAAGACCGGAGGGCCCCAGTACCACGGGAAAAATTTACACTAGCAATCTCCTCAAAACGTATAGAGACAGGAGGTCGGGGCACGAAAAAAAACCCACGTTCAAGGGGATAGAGGAGACCAACACAGGTCTTGTGACTGCAAGCAATTGCGGAACCACCGTTCTTTGACTTAAATGAGCCAGGACCAGTAATCTTTTGGCCGTAGAGAATCTAGAAGAACAAAACAAAAATATATGAAAAATAGAAATCGAACAGATATGGCTTAAGGTGCAGACACAAACCTTGCAGAGACGCGCAAACAGATCATACTCAGGACCGACCATTACTTGAGTTAGCTTGCCTTCATAATTTTTTTGCAGATAATCATCCGTGGCTGTTAGCTCAATCTCAACATCTTTGTCCTTTTCGAAGACCATGACAATAATATGATAGCGTGTCTGACCATGTTTTAGAGGAGGGTCGACTTGAGCAGCAAAGAACATTTGACGATTATCTGGATGAGGGAGAAGAAGGAACCTAATGATAGTATTCTTGGGAATCTTGTAATCAAATGACTTCCCATGCAGATGAATGAACGTAGTGTAGAGTTTAACATCGTAACGACCACGGGGTTGTAGATAGGAGATGCCTTTGAACTCAACCAATGAATCACCAGTGACTTGAATAATATCGGCCTTGTCAATAACTTGATTATAAATTTCAGTAGCTGCGCCATCTTTATCTGTTTCAGTGCTTGGAGTATGAAATCGCATTTCCGACAAACACAACTCAGCATCATCATTTGGGTGAAACTCAAGAATAACTTCATTCTTATTTGAAGAAGCGTTAGATATGTTACTTAATGGAACATCGAAAGCCAGTGCATTTTTGCACACAAATTCCAAAACATTTCCTAAGGAAAAATTAAAAAAGACAAAATTGATTTTACCTTCGAATACAACATCACCCCAATTGAATCCCTTGTAGGAGATTTCACGTTTTTCAACGTCCATATTAAAGTTCTTCTTAAAATAAGAGGAAAATTTTTCGGCTTCGATTTCCCCAAAGCCATCATAACGATGAACGCTATCATTTCTGAGTTTCAAGCGTAAGCATTGGCCAGCAGCTCTGTTTACCCATTGAGCGGAATCGATGTCGTTACTGGAAAAATGGTCAACTTTTCCCGTAGATTCATTCTTAAACATAAGTTCTGTAGGTTTGAGTCTTAATTTTCCAGGGTATGTGTGACCACGTATCTCCTGTGTAATATTTTCAAAATACAACTCTGACATTTTAATTTTACGAGATGAACAGCCGAATAATTAAACCGAAATGAGCGCGAGCTAGAATACGCGATTAAATAATTGATTTTATTTTACAACAATAGCACCAGCTATTATTTATGTAAAATTGATTAAATGAATTTAAGTTGAATATATATTTTCAATAAAACTTCTATGATTAATAAATAGTTTTGAGATATCATTCAATATTTAATATCATACCATGCCTCCTGAATACTAGCAAAAACGAATTGGCTTTTTTTAAGTTTTTCAGCAGAAATAAAACTATCAGAATATGAATGCTCAAATATTTTATATATAACTGTTTGATTGTTACTAGTGCATTTATTTATCCCCTCCTCGACATCGCTTTATTCTTCCTTTGGTTTTACGCTTACAGCCTTACTACCCGCCTATTTACCAAGCATTTTCATTGTTGCGCTTCACAGGAACGAAAATTGGTTATGCGCATACCAGTTAAATATAAACTAAGAAATTCATTACAGCTAATGCATTGCGGCAGAAAAGTTTAGTCAATATTTACCTAATATTTAATACGCACTAAACAGCCCAGCTTCAACTTGACCCAACCCTGAATACAAGCGAACACACCGTAAAATACCATAACTGACCAGGTTGGTATATTTACACAGAATTACAAACCAACCCAAGTCATAAGAACAGACTAAATTATATACACACGTAAAATATGAGGTTAATCCTTTTGGCCGCTTTTAGCTCTCGAAGTATAGCGCTCTTGCGCCATACAAACAAGATCATTGGTGAATTCTGCACCGGCAGCACAAGACATCATCGCCTGTATAGAATGCTGTTCGTCATTACCGAATACGTACCCGTTTGCCTTGTCTGCACATTGCATTACCCGTTGTAACAGTGTCCTTTCCTACAAACGGAGGAAATATTAACACAAACGGTTTAGATTAGCTTTACACTTCCAAACAATTTAAAATTCAGCAACATTAACCATTAAAAAAACATGTTCGTGACCTACTCGCTTTTGTTTCTGCCAATTCTACTTTTCTACCGCATAAATATTGCAAACAAATTCAGTATTAGCTGATGAAAAACTTACTCTAGCGTCCAAAACCTGAAATGTGATGAGAGAGCTGTCCTGTACAATTTCTGCAAGTACCTTGTTCATCTTTTTGTATTTGGCGAAAAATGGATCATCCTAAACAAAACGAAAAAGATAATTCCCAACAGTTATAATCAATACTACCATATGATAAGAAACAAAATGAATAAACAGTATTAGTAACAAACTCAGTTAGAATTAGCATGCAGAAACGTTAATTAAAATACGCGACCCCCAACTTTTGCATTGCTATGACACATAAGCTATTTATACACTACGGTGTCTCAAACTGTGATATTTGCATCAACAAAAATATTTGATATCGCTAAATGTGCACCCACTTGCCGACTCATATATTACCTTAGAAGAAAATATTCAGCCCTCTTGAATTAGGTTGAAAATATATGTGGAAAATGCTTTAGGCGCACTTAACCGATCTTTTCATGGAAAATTGAAACAGGTGTTTTCTGTGCATTTGAAAGAAGCTTACAAGGTTCATCTCTTGTGCACTGGCATATCGGTCATACTTGTACCTGGGCATGCGAGAACAACTCCGATTCCATTAGGGCTATAATTGGTAGGTAAAAATGCGGCCAGTATTTCATCACATATCTTCTTATAGCATGATGTGATGATTTGTAACTACTCAATTGACTCAAATTCAAGTTTAATCATTCTCACTTTATCATTAGGAAAAAAGTGATGTAGGGGAAGAAACACTCCGTGCCAACCTTTATTCCTATCCTACAATATTGCTAAACACAATTTAGGCACTCAAGAGCGTGCAAACAACATACCTCAAGTCGTTCCACAAGGTGCGAGAGATTAAGAACCTCAGTGAAGAAGTCCAAATTGAAGGGCAGTTTACCGTACATTTCAATTAGGTCAATTTTACTGAGAACATTGACATGCGGTAGGGAGAGTTGAAGCATTGCAACCAGAGACGTGAGTAGAACTGAGATAAATTTGCCTGCATCAGTACAGTAGTGGGAATCAACCAGATGCACAGCAGTTAATCGCAAACCGATACCCTCAATATCGGGAGAGGTGGCAGGGGGAGGGGGAATGGAAGCATTGTTACTTGACGGAGGTGAAGGAGAGAATGTAAGGTATGAGAGAAGCCTTCTAAAGAACGAATTGTTGCAGTATAGTTCGACCTAAAAACTTGAAAATACTCCAGTGAATGAAAATTAGACAATAGTTGAAATAGTGACCAGTTTTTTGAAAGACAGATTTCCGTACACCACGAATACGATAATTACTAAACTAATGACCCAATAATATATATCTTCCCTTGCAACAAGATGTAGTGAATAACACTTACCTATTTACGAAAGAGCAGGTCATTAGACCTTTGGGTTAAGCGTTTCATACGAATTTGCACGAGATCGTAGAGTTAGCTTGTTGTATACTAAATACTCATGTTTGGAAGGATTGGTACAACTTAGATAAAAAGACCCCCAATTCCGCATAAATGACAGCATCTAACGCGAGCATGTGATCAGAAGAAATTATAAAAAAAATTAACCTTTGGGGATAGAATAATAATTTGTTCAAGGATATATTTATTGACTTCGGATTATTCTAATCTTCTGAAATGACACACACACAAGCTCGCAGCAAACAGATAGTGATAACTCCAATTCATTTTTTTGAATTATACTTCCAGTTACAGAAAATTAACTGCATTTCCCAATAGTACACACACTCTCACCTGCCCAGGACAGTCAAATATGAGGTAGGTTTTAGCTGACTGTTTGCTAAAGGCACGAAGACGATCAGCAAGCCACTGCCGATTAGTGTAGAGGTATTCTATGCAGTAGAGAAGACCACCATTAGGACCCAGCTGCAGAGATTCCATTACATCGTCCAATGTGATCAGCTCACGAAGATCTACTTCACAAGTGTAAGGCAAGTCCTCATTAGCTGGATCGAGGTTTACGACTACCACTTGTCGACCTAGAGAGGATTATAAATTAGCACCGATCAACTGATGGACCCATTGACGGGGATTACGATGATGGAAGAATTCTGCCAAAGTTATTGCAGATGATAATAGAACAACAATAATTAGGTAATGAGAGTTTCAGTTAAAAAATGATGGCCTTTTGGTTAAGAAACGTTCTAAGTTAATTTCGTAGAAATAAGCATGGATGAATATCAACTGAGAATAATTCAATTCAAACATAAAAAGAGAGACTGGAAGCAAAAAAAGAGATGTAAAAATGCAATACATGACGCATGGTTCTTGAAGTAACAAACGCTGATAAACTCACTTTTATCCACTGCAGCTTGTAGCAGGAGGCAAGTTAATTGGGGATGGAATAGCCAAAGCTCAGAATATCATGGAAATAATACCACTTATGAATCCGAGGGTCTGTATATGGGGTGTGCAAATTATCAAAAAATGACTATAATCCCCATGTGAAAATGAGTGACTTAATTTATCCATAGTTCAAACAAGTTATTGACGATCTGGCCTCTCTTCCTACTTCCTCAAATCTCCTCTCCTCCCTTATACCTTATTGGACTGATCTGCGGTTTCCCTTACACAGACGCTTTCTCATGATTGAACTGCGATCAAATGCACTTTCTAAGTTGTCTAAGTTTTTTTAAAAGGGGAACTCCTATTAAATACTGATGATAGTATACGATAACAAGACTTCAAAGCAATGAGCAGACATACCCAGTTCCGTGAGGAATTCTTGCATAGCGGCACAATAGGTTGATTTGCCACTTCCCGGGGGACCAATCACAACTTGACCAAAAAGACCCAACGAGGTACTCCCCGGCATTATTCTGCTGTTGTTACCAAAACAAAGAAAACTACAAGTAAAATGCCATCCGCTAATCAGCAACGCTTGCAGAATTTCAAATTAGTATAAAAAATGATTTTATTCATACAAAAAATACAGTGAAAAAAAAGAAGGGGGGAGACAGTGGCTATTCAGACATTGGATTGGCGTGGATTGTGATATCTTGAATGTGAATATCTGTGAGGGGTTTGTAGGTCTTATCCTCTACAGGCGCCCGCTCCAATTCGTCCAACACATCCCAGCCGTCAATTACTCTATAAATTACAAAAATCTTTCATTGATCTATTAAGTCAACCGATTCAAATAGTAATACATATATATTAGTTCACATTCGTGCAAGAAAGACAAAATGCAACGTTGCTAATTTTCAACGAATTTTCGTATTAGGGATAAACGTGATTAAAGTATTCATAGTCATCAACATTGTACAATTTATACCCGATCTAGGCACTTTAAAGCGTTTACGAGGAAAATTATATTCAAGAAAGTCTGCAAGAAGTTGATAGTTAGCTTAAAATGATAAGAAAATGGCGAAGCAAGTTCGATGAATTGATATGACTGCTTAAATATTCAGCATTTAAGTCCGGCCAATTCAAGATTTAAAAGCTGAGCCCCCTAGCGTGAGTAAACAATTTTCGAGTCCATCAAAAAAATTACAGAATCTATCAGGGAAGTTAGTCAGATAGCACATCTTAGGAGGCGCCTAATCGAACGCACCTGATTCATGGAAGCGAAAGCACAAGCTGTGTGTTTGGAATTCACACCTAGAAGACATGTAAGTCCATCATTGAAGCAATGGCAGTTGCAAGCACTGGGTAACTAGGACACAATAAATTAGCACAGCAAACTCTAAGCAATCAAAATTACTTCATTAGCAAAAGATCGTTGTTTTGGACCACTAAGTTGTAGCATGGAAAGGTGGTAACGGGGCACTATGAAATACTGAAAGCTCGTTGATGAGAAAGTGACACCGAGGAACGTTAAGATCATCAGATTTAAACGAAGTGGCTAACCATTTCAATCATTACATGTGTATCGATAAACTTTGAGCCCATGAACACTGGTGTAGCATAAAAGCGCATCAATAGTACACTGAGGGGGGTATGCGATAGGCTTACCTCAACGTGGTGCACCTTGGGCAACGTATACGTATACGGCTAAATGGTCCTTGAACCGGCAGTTGACTTCTGACTTCAAACTACCATGACCCCACTGTATGCCATATTCCACAACTTTCACAGTAATCATCTCACCTTTTCTCTACCGTTGTGCCCGTCTCTTCTACATCTGTGAGTCACTCTTCTGTTCCCTCTCTCGAATTTTTCCCACCTTAATATTCCTCACTCTGTGAAGCCCGAAGTCAGCTAAATCGCTAATGATAACTGTTCAAGACGGCTGCCATTTGAAATATTAATAATAATAATAGTACACTGAGATATTTACGATGAACTAACTTTCCAAATATTGAATACTTCATATCCAGCATGGTTTGTTTACTATAGGTGATGAAAAACTGTGATCCATTTGAATCAGGTCCATTGTTTGCCATTGAGACGATTCCCCTCGCATTGTGCTAAACAAAAACAATGGATCAGAGAATCGATTTCTCAGCTCACCTTTAGTGCATCGTCAAATTCATCTTTGAACTTCTGTTTCCATATACTTTGACCGCCCTTTCCCGTGCCTAGGGAGCGACAGTTACAAACATATACACTACTTATTAGTTACCTGTCGGATCACCAGTTTGAACTATAAACCCCTTAATATTTCTATGGAAAATGCATCCCTTGTAGTAATCCGAGGCGCACAAGGCGAGGAAATTCTAAGTAGAAACAGAGGAAACACAATAGGTTAATAGGCAGTTTAATCAAAGTTTTACAAAGTACAAAGAGGGATTGAAAAGTAGGGAAAAGTGGGTTTCAAATCCTGTTTCTGGCTAGGGCGACATTCTTTGTCATAGCAGGTAGGCCCCATAGTTTGCCGGATTTATCTGGCTGTGCGTTGACTAGAGCCCTTTCCATATGGTCAAGTGCAGATATGAAATTGTTCCATACATTCAAGTCAATTCCATGGGTGATATTCCATTCTGGCATTAGAGGATTAGGACAATGTATTAAACTTCCAGTTTGACTAACTTGACCCTCACGAGAAAGTATTCGACCAGATCTGAGACAAATTGTTGACTTTTCGGGTTGAAGAGCTTTTAAAAAAAGAAAGAATTCTCGCAATAACTGTGGTGCCTCGATAGGGCAAGGGGTGGGATCATCTAAGGGAATAACAAGCTTTTCTGGAATGTCCTCATTATCATTAAGCAACAAGTACTCTAATGGAGGAGCCTGGCCAGCTACAACTTGGAGAAAAGCGACAAGCAGAGAAGAGAGTTTGTAATTTGTGAAACCAAAAGAGGGCCCATGTTGAGTTATATGGATACCACGCATAAGGTACTTGAGGGTACTGGCAAGATAAAGGAAGGCAGGGACTTGAGTGACCAGAATTCGCATCCAATAAGCAGCATGGAGAACAAGCTGAGTTGAATCATGTTCTCCAGGACTTCTTGAAATGTCTACTCCTACACCAAGGCATTTATGTCGAGTGTAGTTTATAATCGGCGTGCGACCTGGTAGAACTCTTGAACTAGGGGCACTCAATGGATCAAGACGATTTAAGAGGAACCTAATGGGAGTCAGGGAGTGATAGTTGATCTGACCATTGTATCCGAGAAGATCCTGCAGAATAGACAGACCAAATGTTGAAGGATGTTGGCGGAAATTGGTGACTGCACGAGGATACCGTTGGGCAAAAGTCTGAAGACGTGGATTAATGTCCAAGTTAAGCTCGATTATGGTATCTAGATCACTGGAACTGGAACCAAGACCGTTTATAGCTGAACCGAAGGGATAGACAGTAGTTCTTGGTCTAATAGAGCTGACAATTTCCGCAAGGGCATCGGAGAACGTGAAGAGAGCAAGACGGAATGGATGGCGTAAATTATTTCGATCAAATAATGTCTGCATTTGTCCAAGAACAGAGTCAGATTGTAGTAGGATCTTTTCAAGTGCGCCCGAAGTCAGTGGTTCAGGCTGAAAGTGGACAAGATTTTCATCAAAGGTCTCTGAGAGAGAGGCGACGGGCCATATTGAGGGATCCGAGCAGATTCGATAAGGAGGAAGGGTGAATTTTTCTGTCCTGCCTTTAGTGTCAAGTACTGGGAGGAAGGAGCTGGGAAATGCACGAATGCTCCTGAGGGCTTTTTGTAGAGCCAAAGGAGAATTGGATTGCAGCAGGAGAAGGCCACTACTTTTAGGCCAGTAGTAAGCATGCTCAAGCATTCCAGAATTTTCTTGGAAAAGAGTAAGAACACGAGGCAAACAAGAGGGAGCAACATTAAGGCAAACACATCGACGAGCAAGCTCTAAGTACGAGTTTAAATTCATTGAATCAAAGACAGTAACGACGAAATTAATAGCTCACCTCACAAGCAAGTGGTGCCTGCATGCAGAATAACTCAATCTTGATATCCCCCAAATCCGTGTGCAGTGTCACAGACTGAAAGAAAAGAACAGCTAAAATCAAACAAGAGAAGCAAAACAACGAAAAAAGTCGACATTCAATTCATAGAACTCTATATAATCAAAATCGCATAAGATACAAAAACCATGGGAAATAATTCTAATCAATTATCTTCAATATAGCCCTGAATAAACGGTAAGCCGGTGGAGACCTCGCGTTGATAAGCCCGATAATCATCACCGAAGAAGACGAGCAGAGACCGCTCTTCGGCGTTGACACGGCTTTTAAAGAACACATAAGCGGTAATGGGGTAGAGAATGGAACAAAGTGGATTAACGAGGAGAATTTGGGTACCGACACTCCAAAAGAACCAACCGGAATAGGCCGGGTGACGACAGAAAGCATAGATACCACTTCTGACAAGATGATGGTCTTTACGTGGTGTATACTCAATATAATGATTGAAATTATCTGCGGCAGTAAGCATTGCAGTTTTGCGTATAATTTCCCCAGCTACAGCTATAGCAAGCCCGATAACACTAACAAACATTAGAGAAGTGTATTTCGTAGGCCAAAAGTAGATTTCCAACCAGTATTCCAAGAAACTGAGAATCATAGCTCCAAGATATTCAGGGCTATGGCCGAGAAGATAAAGGTCAGTATCTGCTCGTGAAGGGCTGGTGAGCGAGGAGACGAAGAACTCCGACCAATGAAAGAAAGCGAGGAGAGCAAGATAAGCAGCAAAGGGAAAAACAATACGAGGATGGGGAAGGTCAAGTAGAGACCGATAAGAGAAAATTAATCCTGCAGCAAAAACGCCACCGAGGCAAAACGCAATTGAGAGATTTGACCGAAAGCCATCTGGAAGAAGCTGTGAGCCTCGGTCGGTGTATGGAGAAAGGTAATCAACTGCTTGTGGAAGAACGAATCTGATGAGCACATGATGTGTCAAAATAAAAAAGATGGAGAGAACAAAAAGCGTTGTGATTGAGAAGAACTCTACCAAGTTGAGTAAAAGAAAGTGATAGGTTAAAAGAGACAAAATTCCAAGCAAAAATCCAACCAAAGAAGTTGGCGCTGCCCATGGAAGAGCATTTGAAAGCATGATTTTTTGCTAAATCTAAAAAGTAAAGATTTACTGTTTATTCAAAAAATAACATTTTATTTAGGAAAATACCGACTACCCGATGAAAACGGAAATACTTTTAACGGTTTGCGAAAGCTTCGTTTCTTAAAGTGGATTAACAGTGTTTCACATCAAATACAAAAAGAAAACTTGGTTTCATGTCATTCATTCACACACGACAAAACAACTTGCTTCGATTTTTTAAACTTGGCGGGATAAACTAAGCACTAATTAAACTAAATAGGAAAGCAGGATGGTCACAAACTGAGATAAAATATGGTACCTAGGTGTATTTCATAGAGCTACTAAACCTTGGCATAACAAATTAAATTCAATCTGATAAAATATATGGGTTAATGAGATGCCAGTAATTGCACTTTAAAGTTGATTACTTTACTTTAAACCCAACTCAAAATAATTTTAAAATATTATTTGACCGCTTTGAAATTGCTTAACTTAAATAACTTATTTATCACTATTGTTTGACATGAACATAGGTCATTGCAGCAATCCCTTGTTGACTGTAAAGCCCGCGATGAATAGTCTTGGTATGCAAGTACTTTTAGGGTTCAGCGAAATCAGACCTAGGCAAAATTAGTGACAAAGTATTCAAAGCTTTCGATTTGTTTGACCAGGATGGAAATAAAACAGTAAATGATAGAGATATAGGAACAATTCTGCGCAGTTTAGGACTATGCCCATCTGAGGCTGAACTAAAGGACTTCATTTCTCAAGTACTTATTTTAATTTTAAGCATTTAAGATTGAAAATAATCCACCAAGTGGCATTATTAACTATGAGCGCTTTTTTCCCGCCGTTCGAGATATTATGCTTTATGGAAAGTAGGTTGTATCCATCTTAAACTGTAAGGTTTGACATCCTTCCGGAGGAAGAAATTACTCGAGCATTCCAAGCCCTCGATCCTAAAAAGACTGGCTTTGTTGACCAGGAAGTGCTCAAAGAGCACCTGTTGACCGAGGGTAAAATCGCCTTCTCTTAAGTTTTGATACCATCCTAGGTGAAAGCTTTACACAAGAGGAGATGGACGAAATGCTTTCTTGCACAACTGATCCATCGAAAAATAAAATTAATTATCGGGACTACGCAGTTAAGCTTGCTGATATAACTAGAACCTAATTTTAAGATACACACTCTGAGCTAAAACATCTGATAAATATAGCACGTTCGAACAAGTTTAAGAGTGACTTTTTTGCTTGGAATATAATATTCCATTACAAAGTAGGCAATTACCATACGTTTACTGCCCCAAAATCACAACTATTTTGGCAAGCAAAGCATCTCTAGTGTTGTTTGTATCTGCCTTATTCAATCAAAGACAGGAATTGTTAAAGAAATTCAAGCTCCATTTACTAATCAGATCAAAAGAGATTAAAAAGGAATGAAATAACTCAAAATGGAATGGCGTTTACTGGGCCTTCTTTCCGCCGTGCTTTTCAAACCACTTATCACTGTTGTCTCTAGCTATCGCATCGATCAATAATTCATCGCCTCTCGGGTCCACCTGCGATAGACTTTTGAATGCTTCATCGCCGACAAAGCAGATCTCGTGTCCATCCTTAAAAGAAGACGAAAAATGTTCGTGATAAGTTCATTCTACTTAATAGCTTTGAGTTTATAAAGAGTAGTATCTTTGAGTAGCGCAAGATTTCATTGAGATGCAAATTTATATTGAAATCCGCCAAAAACCACAATTTCTTAAATAACTAGTCAAAATAAACATCACATTGGTTGCCTAACGTTTTACGCATTAATTAGATTTCTATAAAATCCACACAATGCAGGTTAAAACAACTTGTCATCGACAATCATTGCGTCATGAAAGCAATATCAAAATAAATTTGATCAAAAAACGAAACTTACTGGGTCTGCAAGAATGATTACTTCAACTGTTGCTTTACCAGGAGTGTCCAAACTGGTCAAAGGTGTCAGAATGGTCTCCTTAGCCTCTTCCATTTTCTTCTGCAGTGGAGCCAGCTTTATAAAAGCCAAAATAAAACTAACTCCCCATTCAAAACCGCAAACTAATAACGTAGTTAAAAAGCTTACAAGTTCTCTGGCACAAGCGAATGCAACTCTACCAAATGCTTGCCCTCGATCAATTGGTTTATCAGCATGTGTCAACTTAAGCTGGCATTGTCCTTCGGCAAAAGTGAGCAAAGCATAGTTATCTGAGGACTCCAGTAACCTCATGCCACATTTGTTGGACCAGTAATCTAAAAATATACTTTCAATTTTATGCGATAAATATCGCGCTTGCCTATAGACCTTTTGATATCAGATGAAACAAGTTCGAGTTGTCTAACAGGATCGGAGTTGATACTTTTCTCATTATGAATGAAGAACTGATAACCAGCTGGGTCAGTCACGGCAACTACACCCTCATTTTTAGTTTTTTTCGCATTTGGTTCAGACAAAACGCGTTCATAAGCTGATGGAGAGTGAATATGAATGCCCACAAAATCATTTCCGTGCCTATAGCTGCCAATCCCATAGTTATATGTAAGTTCGAG